CTTTGTAATTACATGTATACTGCCTTGATTCTTTGGAAGTACACCAATAATCATCTAATCACATGGAAATAGTCACCTCATGTTATTTCGTTAACATTGTCGTCTGCACATGATTAAGAGTTTACTATCCCTCTTGAAAATCTGCCTTGGTTTCTGGAAACCTTAACTTTATTTTCACACATATGCATAGCTTATTTCGACCTAGAAGGTTGATAGCACAGAACTAGAATAGAAAATGTTCACTCTGTTGAAGAGGTGTACCTTGTGCCCTTGGATATTTGCCACCCTCTCTCCCTACCTACACTCTTATGCTGGCAAAATATAGTATCCTTATAAAAGTTTATAAAATACCTTTGGTATGCTTTATTTGATCTATTCATTGGTTCAGCATGAACATATTGTATGTACAGTCAGTGTTTCCCAACAAACCAGGGAAAGAATACAAAACAATAGCTTGGAATATGTGTGTGGAATAGCTATATAGTTTTGACGCAATTGCAGTTCAACATGTACTATACACATCACCAAAAAACACTGGTGTTATCTATACACAAGTACTTAGTAGGGGTACAAATGACTGAGAGACTTTCATTAAGCCAAGGTCATAAAATAACTACAACTGCAAAGTAGAAAGTTTTAATTGATGTGGTAGAAAGTATTGACATGTATATGTACATCTAGTTTACATCAGGAAAGGAAGAGCAAATTTCCATAAATCTTACTACGACAGATTCATGTATATGTAAGTAAAAGTGCAATGTTTGTATTTTGTGAAATGGACTATTTGTCAATCAGCGTTCCCTTTGCCTTCTTCCTCTCATGTTCAGTTGCCTGGAAAATAAGAAAGACAATGTCAATGTTTAGTAAGAACTAAAAATAACTTAACATTCTACAAGCAAAATGACCAAATGCATCATCATACAACAATTTACTACTAAAAAAAATCTATACTTCTAACCAAAATCAGTAGAAAATATGGGACATATTATGTTCCACTGTGCATTATATCTGTACTTACCATCTCCTGCAGTTTTCTCTTCACCATACCCTTTCTCTCCAACTGTTTCTCAATCACACGAGCATTGGAGGCATAGGAGTCTGCAACTTCCCTCTGAAAAATAGTGGTTGATAACACTGGTTGATAAATACAGATACAAAAAAAACAACATTTGGATCAGCCATCATGCTTTGTTACTATCAACCATCTAGATCAGACCGTTACATAGCAAAGTGTAGTGTAGTTCTGATGATACAAGTTCAACACAAGTGGGTTCCTATCTCCATTTCAAACTGTAGTCTCCAAGGGTAGAGTCTAAACATGTTTCAATCACTTTGCCAGGCAAATACTATAGTCCACCCCCCAACACCATGGTATACATTTACCATATTTATTTCCCCTAGTAGTCCTACTGCATAATACAGATTTACTTACAGCTTCGATCTCTTCCTCTTCTTCATCCACTGTGGACACTGTGACTGAGCTGAATTTGCCCATGTCTTTCGTGCGTTTTGTCATCATCACCTGTAGAAAGCACCAAAATATCATTTAGCAGTCATACACAAACATTACCAGTGTTAACAGTTGTGTTTCACTGTATTTTTATTGCATTTTTGTATAAAAGTATATAACAGTCAGACTGCCCCTAACCTTCTTGGGTTTGGCTTCAGCGGCCACTTGTTGGTAGATGTCTGCCTTCCTCACACCTTTCCCCTCCTTCACCACAGCCCCGCTCACCACAAACGTCACAGTGCCACCCTTCTCCTCATGTCTGTAGTACAACCTCAGGCCACATCTGGGGAAACATGGTAGAAAAAATCTGTTATAGAAACTTAATATAACATAACCTTGAACACTACAACTTCAATTCCAAAAGCTTAAAAAATAACTTTCTTAAGACTAGAATTCAAATGATGCTGTTAGTATTAATGCAGATTGCTTCAGTACGTCACAAAATATCACTTATCAAAGGTATATGTATGATAACAGTATCCTTTAACTGTAAGCAACTGCTACTGATACCTTTGCTGATAGCTAA